TTATACTGCTTACGCGGCCGGCATTGGCGAAGGAGTTCTTGCTAGAAACGCGTAATGTTACTGCCATCAAACAAGGCAAAATTGCCATCATCCACATCGAGCCTACGGACATGTTGACCTATGATATACTGCCACTCTGGCGAAATGAACTGGGATGTGGAGTAGACTTGGGAGCGGCCGGGCAGAGTCTCATCATCATGACAACTCTGCCAACGAGAACTATCTATCAGCCTAACTCTTCCATTTATACGAACGTAAGTAGAGCGCACGATTTTCAAACATTCTACTGGAGAGCTCGCAGGTTTCTACAATATTCATATTCTTCTGGGAAGATATTTGGAAAGACAAGGCCGTAGTGAAAATACCAACAATTTATATTGAGCTGACTCAAGTTTGCAAATATCGAAAGCCTCGATGGGATTAGAACCTACGATAACAAGTATAAGGCTTGTGTTCAGCCAGCACTCTAACCATCGGAGGTAGGAGACTCCATTGACAGCCGCGAGAGTAATGGGTCCAGTTGCCCGCCCAACACACCGCAGCATATGGAATGCGTAAATTCTGGTATGGAGAGAAGGACATTACCGGAAAAGATGAAATGGGCTGAAATGGCCATTTCAGGCATGTTATCCATCATCAGTCAGCCAAAGTTAAACCCAGGTGTTGCTACTCTAACGCGCGACCGTATTGCATAGTCATAATTCCGTAAAGAATTAGAATAGAATCTACCAGATGACTACTAGACGCACAGTTTATTCCCTTTACTCCTTTCCTCTCACCAGAAAATAAACCTAGCTGCTGCTGCTGCGGCTGGATTAGCAATGCGTCTCACTCAACTAAACGTCAAGGCGGGCGGTGGCAAACTGGAGCCAACAAAAGGCCTGTTTGAACCAATGAACAACCAGGACGTCTACGTGCCCATCACCCCGGAGATCACCTTCCACTTTGAGAACTACGGTACCAATGAGATCCGCGGTCTGTACGACATGTTTATTTTCTCTCTTAATCTGGAGGTCTCATGTGGCCGCCGGAATGTCTCCCAGATGACTTTTGACGAGATATTTCTTCTGACCGACGTGATTCTTTGGCCACTGATTGCGGTACAGCGTGTGGCCGACAAAGTTTGGCCTGGAGACAGCAACGGGCCTAGTCGAAATCCCTGCCTAATTTATGACTGTGAAATGGGTAGGTTGGACAAGCATGCTCTCCTGGGCGAGTGCGTTGCTTTATCGTTTTCTCAAACGCTCTCTTTTTCTGTGTTTTTGCATGCAATTTAGCCGGCAGCGTTCAGGAAATTACTCTCATTATA